GCGCCGCTGCCATTTTCTCAGTGCTGACGTGCATTTTGCCATTTATACAAATGCACGCGCTTTTAAAAGCACCCAGCACTGCAGTGCAAGCATGTGTGCAAATGCCCTAAAGTGCCAGCTGCCCTACCTTCTGTGTAGGGATCAATAAGGATGGTAGTTAAGAGACTTCTAAGCCACTGTACCTTTGTCTATGGAGGCTTTATTGATCTGGATTTGTTTCAGATTTATACAATCTAGCAACTAACATTTTTTTTTTTAATCAAATCAAACAAAACCTGCTCCACATTTCAACCATCAGCAATCTTCCTTTCAAATGCCAGTGCAACATAAAACTGCAACAGTAAGCCATGTTGTCATATACACACTGTTACATATAGCAACACCCATTCAAAACTGAAGGGATATAAATACTCAGCCAAGTGGGGGATGACATTTCCAGAAAACAGTGACAGATCTGCGAGACTGCAACATGTCTCACCATACACAAAAACTTAGAACATTTAAACGGCAAGAAAGGAGGAAGAAATCATGAAATAAGAGAACTAGAGATTGCAAAAAAAGGTCTGTATACATTTCTACTGTCTTCTACAATGCGATATAAACTCTAAAGTTTTCATATAAAGTTCTCTTTTCATTGTCATGATATGGCCACGTAACAGGAACAGGTTGGCTACTGTTTTGCTAACTAAGCCTCACAAATATTGCCAACAGCCACAAGAGACTGGCACTCTTCCCCATCTGTCACAAGGCACTTCAAAATGTAACTGGAACAAAGAAAAACTTGTCTACCCTTAGAAAAAGAAAATAAAAGACTCTCTCTCTCAAAGAAGACTGTGACTACCTGTGTGTTACAATATAGTTTATTCTTGCTTGTATGAACAGAAACATAAAATGCTAGAGAAGTATGCTTTAGCATAATTGTGACTTAGATAATCTCCCCTCTTCATATAATAAACCAAAACCTCCATAACTTCTTCATATAAAATAGCTGTAAAATGGAAAAAGCTAAGTATATATATTAAGGTGTAGTATATGTTAACTGTCACTATACAATTTTTTGTTTCATGATCTATATGTTGTAGAATGGGGCGGGCAATTATTTTGGGCAGAGGGCTGCTTACTGAGTTTTGGGAAGCCATTGAGGGCTGCATGACAGGCAGCCAGGGGCAGATAAATATTAATTTTCTAAATATTTTAGGGGCCCCACGGGTCGGATAGAATCGCCTGGTGGGCCACATCTGGCCTGTGGGCTGCATTTTGCCCACCCCTGTTGTAGAACATGCAAAAATTGAGCTACACATTTAACTAAGTGTATGGGAGTATAAAAAAATTACTGCTAACTGCATATTAAGCCAGGTTCCTATGGTAATGTTAATTTGGCTGTCAGGTTTTAACTTCCTTATCTTATAAGATCTAAAAATGCAAAAAACTGTTAACATTTACAATTATCAGATCACATTTAGTAAGTACTGCTGTATATAGCAGACATGCTCTCCCAAGACGCTACCAAGTTAGGACTGATGTCAATGAAAGATTTAATCCTGCTCCCAGACCCAATACAAACCCCTAAGAAACTCTCCTACACAAACACTTATATCCATCTTTCAATATATCAGGATTAAGAGACTCAAATCCATTCCCTTGCATAACTTTAGAAATGATGCTGAATTCAAAACCAGAAGTGAATCTTTGAAAAGGTTCTAATGCAGAGCTGACAATGGCTACCTGAACAGATGCCATACATCATTTGTTTATTTATAGCCCACCCTATCAAAATAGTTCAGAGTGGCCTACAATAAAGCAAACAATCCACAGACAAGATTCCCCAAAGAGTATCCTAAAACCTGAGAACTCCAACCCCCACCTTTCCTCCAGCCACCACCCCCCTACCAAAATCCTTACGCAAAAATCCTCCAATTCCAACTGTACCTCACAGCCACCACTCACATCAAGATAAAAGAAACACTCCTCCCCCTCAGCTCCCTACCTACCTGCCCCTCACCACATCCCCATTAAAAAAAAAAAAAAAAATCACAATTTTGTTTATGTTCTGATAAAAGTAGCTATTGTTCCTCTGCTTTACCTGTGGTAGGTTAGGGTGCTATGGCTTGCAGTTGTGCGGTAGGGTTGATTGTGTAGTTTTAGTAACAGGTCAAACAAGAATTTGCATGGGATAGCATGGATAGGGATCCTGCCTCTGGCAGAAGTTTGGACTAGACCAGTGGTTTTCAACCTTTTTTGTACCAGGACCTATCTGTAAACATTGGTGGCCAGTCCTAACCCAGTGCCCCTCACTCCCGTCCCACTGCACCTCCCCACACCCAGTGCCCTTGTGCGTGGGGTAGAAGGTGGATGTGACATGGGAGACCCCAAGCAGCCCCTTGCAGGCTGCAACTCTGACAGCCTGCAAGGGAAAAAACCATGGTTTCCCACATTTTTCTCCTTTAAAGGAGTACCCATTTTTTAAATTTGTTTGTGACCCTTTCATATGTTCTTTTGGGTCACCACTGGACTATATGACCTCCCAAAGTCCCTCCCAGCCCTACTTTTCTATGATTCTATATGTTAAATGAAAGGACTAAAAGACAGCTGGAAATATTTTTTTTTGAATGATATGGCTCAAGAGCATCACCCGTCAAACATCTGGCCTGTAGAAGTGTGCCATCTAACCTGCAGGACTCCAGGGCCACCTGGGAATTTGGGGGTGGAACCTGCCAGTAAAATATGAGGCATGGAGCTATGTTGGGAATGCATGCTGGCAGCTGGGGGGCAGAGGAAGGAGTGACAACAGCATTAACTCCCACAGCTCCTAGACACTCCTCACCTCACTGCTGCTGCTAGGTCCGTAGCCTATGAACCTCTCAAGAAGCCCCATAATCCGGTGCTAGCACAGGGGGCTGGATGAGTCTGACAACCTGGATGTAGCCCAGAACGTTTACATCACCTACTTGTTAGCTGTGTCACATTTTTACCTCACTGACATTACTCTGTGAAGCTGCATGGAACGTCACCCAAGAGTTGAGAATTACAATGAAGTAGAGGTCTTGCCACATCCCCACCTTGATCTGTAAAACAATCAGGGCATTACCTGATGTTCTATAACCTGAGCTAGAGCTTTGGACATTCAGGGCCTTAATCTATACTACAAATTGAAACTACACTATAAATGAATTAGTCACCAACCCGCATCAAGAGTCTGACTCATCTGTATACAATAAGAGTGTAGACAAGGCCCTGAATAAACGTGGAAGAATATTCAACATAAGGAAGAAGAAATTAAGAAACCAGTTTCAGCACATGGAACTTGGAACCAAAACACAATTAGATGAATCTAATCATTAATGCAAGGTGAAACTACTGCTTTTGAAGAGGTAATCATTTCCTTATCATATAACCTTGGAACTCCTGCTGATATCAAATACCTTAGAAGCAAATCAGCACGCAGAAGAAAATTAGAAATGAAATCCACAGGACATCTCCTTTAGTGTTATTTGTACTTATCAAAATCCTTAGACTGTGTAAGGTACCTGTTCCACTTCACATTAGTAAAGACAATTATGTTCTATATTTTGAATCCACTTTATGAAAATCCCAATGAAATATTGTTTAACCAAACGAACAAAAAAGTACGTCACAAAAAGACTTGGTAAGCACTCTGCCTTAACACGCAACTTAAAAAGACTTCGTTTATAGCTGATCGGTAATGGAACCTTCATTTTGTAGGTCCACTGCACATATACTTGGCTATTCACAAAGGCATCTTCCTTACTCAGCCATCTCTATACAGGCTAGTACACTTTACCTTAGGCACAACTGTTTAAACAGGACAGTAGTAAGGTCGGTAGGTGCAAAATTAATCTTTTAAGCAGTTCACAGTTTTAGGAACGAATACTTCAGTATCCTAAAAAAAAATCAAAATGTTAAGATGCTAATGTGCGCACTGAGAAAGGTAAGAAAATTAGATTTTAATTTGAAAGGATGACATTTTATGGAGAAAAAGAAACAGAGGCATGTCTCCTCTGAAGGGCGCAATGGAGTTTTCTGTCCTGCTAGCAAGGAACTGCTCACTAAATTAGTTAGCAGTTTGATCATGCCCCCAGACATACCAAACATGTTAACTTTGAAAAAGTGAAGATCTGTAAGCTTACTATGGGAAAACTATTAAGTTTTCTCTTCTGCTACAAGTCTCTATACAATGACATCCCTAGAAATCAGACAGAGACATCAGTACCCAATTATTCACATGATGGCCATCTCAATCATGTTAGAGGGTTTGAAAAATTGAAAACAACTGCATCTAAGTAGAATATAGAAGCATTCAAAAGAAGGGAACAGGAAATTGTAGGGATTGCTTTTCTACAATAGGAAAATTGAGAGCAAGGCTTAAAGAAATCAAAGCCCCAAACTTAAAGTTCAGCTTTCAAGTCCATATTTGTGCATCTAAATGAGACCTAATGTTCCAGAGTGCTGAGCTTCTGTCAACTCTAACTTCAATTTAGGACAAGGGGGTGGGGGAGGAATCACACTTTTTATAAAAATGTCCGAGTCATTAAGTGCCTTTAAAAGAGAGAGAGAGAGAGCGAGAGCGAGCTTAATCCAATCTCTGATTACATCCTCATTGTAGACTACCCAAGACCTTAGTTTAAAAGATGCGTCCCATGTTCTTCATTGGCCAGAAAGTGCGTAATCCAAATTTTCTTTCTTGATTAAAGACATGCCTTTCTCTTGTGATGGGGTTTGCAGTTGTAGGTCCATGCCAGCTGATTACGAATTGATAGCGCTCAACAGAATCTGAGGATTTCCCCAGTTCCTTTTCTGATGTTTTTTTTTTCCCCTTAAACTTTAGAGGAAGACAACTTCCTTGCTGTTTGGGAGTTGTGAATGGTAAAACATGGTAAAATCAGAAGAGCAACAGATTAAAAGGCTTAACTTTAATATTCAGTTTGAAAGCGCCTTTTAAGGCATTCCCACCATTGTAGGGCGCAACATTTTTTACCTACTTTTTATGACAGCAACTGAAATCTTCAGCATTCTCCCAGAAAAATCTTTGTTTGCCAGTTTTCTGCAGGAAAACACTCCAGTGACAATGCCATACAGGAAAGGAAAATGTGCAGTGGATTTGCCCCCACAAATCTCTCTGCTACAAAGCCTACTTGTCTAAAAGAAAACTTCATGACTTCAAAGGTGGAAACCAGGCTCCTGTGGCAAAAGCTGATCAGTACATTCATTCTGAAACAGGTTAAGAAAAATGAAAGTGCCATGCACAAAACCACTAGAGGGCATGAACGAGTAGAGAGATCCAAGGCTGAAGTCTGCTGACAATGTGCGAGAAGAGCGGGACTCTCTCACCCCCCACCCCTCGAAAACAGCTCTTCAACGAAATATCAGGTTTTTTCCATCACTTAAAAGAATGTGTAAATAGATCTCCTGCGATTAGTAAATTTGCTGTCATCATTCATGGCTAGACTGAACAATGCAACTCTCCTTAACACTATTAAAATCCCTGATAAAGATTTTTTCTGCCCTGTTTTACTTTGCCTCCTTTAGTTCAATGTGACTTATTAGTAAGTGTAGATTTACTGACAAATTCTAAATCTTGATTCAAAAGACAACTCATACTTTAGGGAACTTAGCAATTTTCCAACTAGTTTATGTAATCTAAACTAAAAAAGAGAACTAACCTCTTGATGTACTTGTGAGGTGTGAAGGACAAGATTTTCCTTTAAACAACATATATATATTAACTAAAATTATATCAGCATTTGCACTAGCATTCAGAGAATAAATCTTCAAAAACTATGAAATATCCTACTTGTAACTGTTCTGCATATTTCAAAGAGATATTGCAAGCCAGCCATATGATCACTCAAAAGAGCTTATTGTTATTTTCTTAAAAGCTAAATCAATGAAATTTACCCTTGCCACAAAGCCAGTAAGAAACATGATATGAAAAGCATGCAATTATGAAACATACTGGATAAAAAAGTGAACTGTTGTAGAGAAATGGAATGGGACACTTACACAGTGGCTCTCTCACAAGGAGTCCTGATGGTTATTATGTTCTTAAACCATCTAGACAGAATAGCAGGCTGGGAAGAAGGGAGCCACAAACAATCCACCAGATGACAATGCTACACAGTGTAGACACCAGCATAGCTAGGAGCCATCTAGAAAGGGGTGAGGGGGAGGAAAAGATGAACAAAAATTCAAACGCAAAAGCTATTGGTGCATTTTAGCTAGTTAAGTTTTAAAAAGCAAATCAACCTTTAAAACTGGGCCAAGCATTTTCACCCTTCCAAACGTTATAGCCCATGCAACCATAGAAAGTTTTGTCCTTAAGTTATTTGAAAACAACGTAAAACAGGTTTCACAGCAAGATGAAATAACTCCATGTGGGCCTTCTAGTCCAAGAAAAAGTTCACTGCACTTAATGAAAAATGAATTCTAGAAGAGCTTAGCATAGCACTAAAGTCTTGTGTGTCTCTTCTCATTAAAAAAACCCCAGCTGAACAAACAGAAAAGTCTTTGGACTAGCCACTCCTATTTCACTGCTGCATGCTGTTGTAATATCAAACCATTTGTCAGTCATAACTATTACTAAAACAGTGAACAAAAATTATTCAAAGACATCCAGATGGCAAGAGTAGGTTACCTTTCTACAATCAAAATTGCAACAAAACTAATTCAGTAGTTCTTCTGCTGTAGGTACAGCATATTACTAATTATAACACTGACACAAAAGATCCATTCTTCCAGGCAAAGAGGATTTATACGAGCAACTTTGATAAACACTAATGAGTATTAAATACAAATCCCTTGTGCCTTAGTTAAAAAGCAATGCTTCTAGCTCTCAAAAGATATTAAATTCTCCAAACTTCCAGTACTTGCATTTAGTACACAATGTACTGTTTCAAGCAATTCTTGCGCTGAGGAAATAAAAATCTTACTCTGCCTTATTCCTTTAAATAATTTTGCTGGTCAAATGATGAACTTCAGTTGCATTTTGGAATATCTGAATTTACATTTCCTACCTATTCTGGAGCTGCTAACTGCAGAAGAGGCTACAAGCATCAAGAGATGCTAAGAGAGGTGAATATGCAGCTTCCCTTGCAGCAGATGCTACATTAACTACCACAGACTAAAGTCACAAGACTATCTATGGATCACCATAGATACACTCCTCTCTTCTTAAAATTTATCCAGCAACAATTTTAGTGAAGTACTGCTATACCTTGCCTTGACAGAATTGCTCACAGGAGAGGCTGCAAGCAGTTCTCATAAACAGGGACCTACCTAATTCACAGTGGCTACCTCTGGATTTTGCGGTCCTAGCCCGCATTAGGCACCATTTTTGTGGTGGAGCATGGTGGGCTCCCCCACACCTCTGATCAGCTGAGGTGCCTTAGAAATCCTGCCCCTCTCCAGAGATTGACATATGGACACCTGTCAATCTCTGGGGAGGGGAGTGGGACTTCTGGGGCCCCTTGGCCAGAGGCGTTTGGTGGGCGGGGCACACTCCACTGCAAAACTCCCCCCATGCTTCAGGATGTCAGGGCTTCCTGCCTCTGTTTGTAGCTTCCCCATCCCCCCCGCTTCTTCCTGCTTATTTGCAGCCCCCATGTTTTTTCACGGGGACTGGGATTTTTCACAGGGGACCTACGCAATTCATGGTTTCCATGAATATCATGAAATCTTTGATTTGGTAGGTCCCTACTCATAAAACCAGTAGCATCTGGGGAAGGATGTTCTCTTCAGAAAAATAAATCAACAGGAATTAATATTGAAAGTAAGCTTGGTCTTTCTGCACAACTAAGCTAAAAAACAAACAAACTAAAATAAACAAAAAAGAACATCCTACCCCCAAACCCATTTCAGTTGAACAAGTACTACCTTACAGAAATTGAAAGGCATTTTATGATAAAATACATATTTATATTTGGTACAATGTTATTAATCAATTTTAGACTCTAGGTTATATCAAATGCTTTATTTCTGTCAGTCTAGTAAATATTTTAAACCACCTTAACTGTACCACAAGCTCAAACCTTTGGAGGCAGGGGAAGGAGTTCCATGCTAAACCTATACTGTTTTTATACTTTAAATAACTTTTTTTTTTTTTTTTTTTAAACTTAGAAGTTTTTCCAAATATGTGAACCAAAACAAAAACTTTTTAAAAGTTGCCTAGAAAAAAATTGTTTGATTTTGTTTCCTACCAGGCCTCACTCTTTGAGCCTACCCTTAGCTTAAAAATAAAACAAAGAAAGGCAGAAAAAAACTCCAAATGCCGTGCCCCCCCCCGCCCCCCCCCAAAGTAACAACTTACCACACACTTGGGAAGATTTAGAAATCTCTACTTCAAACTAGTTTTTGCATTTGAAGCTCTCCAATAAACATCTTATTTCTATAAACATTCCAATAAAGTGAGGTCAAGGAAGTGTTCCTAGTCATACGAAATGAGCGGTCAAGAACATTAAGATACAGGGCAGTAGGTGGTGGGACATGCAGCACAACAGCAGAGAAAAAATAAGAATGAGAAAAACTGAAAGCTGAAGGCAATTCTTTGGCACAAACAAACACACACACACACCACACTAAACCTGTAGTAAGCTGGGGAATCCATATTTTAAACACTGGGGAAAAAGACTTTGTCAATGAACCTTTAGAAAGCACAGGAGGAAAAAAAATACTGGTATTTACATATATCGAAAAAAAACCTAACTTACGTTAGTGGAACTGCGATTGTAGCTTTTCCTTGCCTTTTGCTTTTCAGAGCACGAAGTTTATCACCTTGAGTTACACAGTTTGTTTCATCTTCATCACTGTACTGCATAAGTAAACAAGGAATAAGCCAAAGATTTTAGGATATGCCCCTTGAGATATTAATGTCTGTTTTACAGGTAACTATTGATAGGGTTGATATAATTTCAAGAAGAAAACTGGGAGGTCTAAATTAGCTTTATGAAAAATATCCTTCATGCTCTCACTTACTGTTTTTAAATCTGCAGACCTTTAAACTATTGCATGAGATATTTGGCCAGAATAGCATCTGACACTGAAACAATAAAAATGTCAGTACCTTTGCTTATACACTGCATTATCTTGACTTCTATTCCTCAGCTATCACATTCCTCTCCAACTCCTATCTGACTTCAGAAGACCATGACCACCTCCCTCTACAGTAGATGCCTATGGTTAAGTGACAGTATTATAGAAATTCTTTTTTCCTGGTAGAAAAAGGCATTTCAATACGGGAGCCCACTTGAAATATAATTGAGGTATTTCTGTTGGCAAACTTCAAAATCTTGATTCATTGTCTGATTCTTCACCTAATTAAAAGTTTTAGGCATAATAATGGCACTCTTTCACTTGTACAGAATGCTTCCATCTTTAATACCTGCTTTTGATATTTCATCTTCCAAATATTTTGGTATTAAAAAGAATATAGCAGAACATACAAGAATAATCTGACAATTTTAGTTTTATTATACCCACAGCTTTGTCCATGCCCCAAGAAATCATCAATAGCTGTTATGCCTTTTTACAACAGCACAACATTTGGACAATTACCAGTTCAGTGTCTTTTCTGTTAGTTTTCCGGTTTTTTGCATCATTAATTGAAATATCATCTACTCCTGTGAGGATTTTCGTAACAGTAATTTTACTGTTCCCCTTTAACTTTGCACGGAAAATATCTCCTTCTGTCCAAAGTTCTGACTGTTTCCTATTACAAAAAGGAAAAAGATATATAGCTATACAAACTTTCCAGAAAATAGCAGTAGGATTTCATTTTGTTTTAAAGGAACTAATCTTTTTTTTATTAAAACAGTCTTCCACAATTTTCCAAATTGCTTATTCTAGCACAGTAACAGTTTACTTACTCTACCAGGAAATGTTGTTGTGGTCCAATCACTGAGCCAGGTCTATTTATTCTAATCCAGGCAATGGTCTCAGCAGCTGTCATCCGGTAATGTTTCATAATATAACAGGCTATAAGTGTGCCAGTCCGGCCAAGACCAGCTGTGGAAGACAGAAGAGAGGCCTCGGTTTTTCATGCACCACAATTTTAAATGGACATTGAAATTTAAACCAAAAACAAAGGAACAAAATTATTCAGTCCCTTCATGTTATTACTATGGCTGACGAGTACTTAAATATACATCTTAACCTGGCAAAGCTTAGATGGCCATCGGTTTCTAAAGTTACATACAAATATTCATAATGTAGCATATTGTTTTAATAAGAGTATTAGGCAACGGACAAACACACACACTTCTTAGCTACTTGGAAGGAAGAGGGGGAAAGCTGCCACTCAGGAGCATAAATTACCAGTTATGTGTTCATGATTTTGCCATGCTACCGATTTTAGATAAATCACTTTTAACTTCAGCTCTGCATGAAAGAGCTACTGCTACACTATCACGCAGATGTAACTGCATTGTAACAGCTTGTGTTGATATCAAGTGATACCAATATAATAGATATGCCCATCTTGTAGTTTTGGTTTACAAAGTTACTACATTTGATTTAAATTTTCAATGAATATGTGCTTGTTGAATCAAGTAGCCTTTCAAAGCCAACTATTTTATATTTTATACTAGCCAACTGTCCATCAAGAATGATGGGCAGGGGGGCGGGTGGGGACAGAGGTCTGTGTCTGGCTCCTCCCCCAACTTTGGGGCCAGGCCCACTCCCCGTTTCCCCCACTATGCTGTGGGGCCAGGCCTACCCCTCCCCCCAACTCCCCACCACTGTTTCAGGGCTGGGTCTGGCCTGGTGCACCCTGCCCACCCTCCCTGCCACTGTTGAGGGGCCAGCGCCAGTTCCTCCCCACCTTCCCCACCACTGTCTCAGGGCTGGGCCAGGCCCAGTGTGCCTCCTCCCCACCCTCCCTGCTGTCATTTTGGGGCAAGGCCTGCTTCTCCCATCTCACCCCCACCCTGCTGCCATGTCAGCCTGGGCCCACTGTTCCCCCTCATCTTGCTCCGGCCCCTGTGTCCCCACCATCATGGCAGCGCTCTGCCATGCTGCCACTTCCTGTTCGAATGCTGTATTCACACTCTGATTGGTTATTTCCATCAGCCAATCAGAGTGCGAATAAAGCATGACAGACAGACAGACTATGGCTTTTATAATATTAGAATACAGGAATACATTATTTTTTCATTCATTATTAGAGTCATCTATATACCTAGGTGGCATAAAATACTTAGAAATACAATTTGCATACAATCAAAAAACAAATGTTCAACTATCCTAAAACACAATAACCACCAATTTATTATCTCAATGTGAATATTCAAATCACTGTTATCAAAGCCCAAGGAAGGAGACAAGCTTTGCAATATTCCCTGAACAAATCCAAGTTTTGGCACAGTGACTCTAGGATACTTCCTGCCAAGAATCCTCTATGAAAAATGCTCAAATCATTGGGCCCTACCACTTAAGTGATAATCAAAAGGAGATGGGAGAAGGGTTTGAAGGTAAAAATATCTCCAATTCAATCAATTTTACTCAACAGAACTCCAAGTCGGAGACAAATACCGCTTGGTACATAAGTCCCAAATTATTAGGAACCCAAAAGTTGATTTACTTTTGCAAGACATGTATGATGTGCTCATGAATAAGCCTCAGCACTTTCTGCTTTTGCTGTAGCATTACACAGCAGAATACAACAAACTGCATTTTGGAGAGAAACAAATCAGCACCTTCTTAATACATTCAGATGAAAAAAAAGCTCTTGTACTATTGTTACATGACATTCAGGTACATTGCTCAATCAAGGAAACTGCTCAAACTGTAAACTTTAATGAAGACCAGCAAATCAAGATGTCAAAATATTTTCACCATTTTTTCTAGTTAAACAAGACTTTCATGAAACAAAGTCATACAGCAAGTCTGTGGCAGAACCGGGAACAAAAAAAGGCTTTCCCGAGTACCAGGCAACAGCCCTGACCATGAGAGACCAGAATGTCTTCTTCATTTAAATCAAGAAACACTTGCACTAATCTGAAGGATCAGGTAGAGCAAATAGTATGCAATTATATAGACTGCACCAAATGGAAGCAGAAGTCAAGATGGCACAGAATTGACTTTGAATGCTCAATACTAATTGTGATAGTTTTTAAAAAGTTTTTTTTAACACATCTACATTTCCTAGTTTTCATCTTAAAAAATTAAGAAATATTTTGACCTTTGGTGGTTGACTGCTCATGTCCTACAATATTTATACCCCAGCAGAAGACCGCTCTATCAGCTGAGCTAAAAAAAAGTAACTATAGTAGACTGCTAAGTATCCAGAACCAGCTACTAAAAGGAAATGCACTATACTCTTGACAGAAGACTTCAGAACGATCTGCTCAATAGAAGAAAAATGTTTGGGGCTCAACTTCTGTCTGTTCTATCTGGGCTCTGGAAGAACTGACTGGAAGCTGAGTAGGGGCCTGGAAACATGCTCAGTACAGTTCAGATTATGTGCACAATGCGATTTTAAAAAACAAATATTTTAGCCATATGTGGCTGGAGTTTTGGGTTTTTGGTTTTTTTTTTTTGTTTTGTTTCTTTTTAAAGCTATCTACATGCCAAATGTCAATTTTCTGCTGCAAAGCATAGAAACACCAGCACTTTCTCCTAGCCAAATCTTTGAAAAGATTACTATTGGCAGGCCCATTCTCCCTTGACATCATTCTTGGAAATGGCTGAAGAGATGGTTGAAATTAAAAAAGTCAGATGCAGCAGACAGCAAGTATGGAACATTTTAGCTGAAACATTTAGTTTGGCAAAGTTATAAGCAACTGGAAGTAAGAACTTCTAAAACAAAGTGTCATGCCATCTAAACTCCCACATACAATATAAATAACACAGGATCTACCTTTGCAATGCACTGCTATAACTCCTTCAGCATTTTCACAAATATTTAGGAATGTTTTGATGATAGTATCACTAGGTGTGCTTCCATCAGCAAAGAAGAGGTCATAATGCTCAAAACCAGCATCAATAAATCGTTTGGCATCGTACATTTTTTTGTTGAGGCGTATTATGGTGGTGACCTTATGTCTTCTGAAGTATGGGAAATAAGCCTCAGGGGCATGATGGGGATAACCTATAGGTAGAGAAAAAGGAAACAATCTTGAAAACTGCAGCAACAACAATCAATTCAGTTTTTAAAAGAAGGTATGTTCAACATAAAAACTGAACCAAAACCCAATTCAAGTACAATTAAAATAAGCATTACGGTTTTTTTACTGCTAAGTTTAAACAAAGAAAAACAGCTAAGGAAATCAGAGTTTGATGAATAATTAAAAAAAACCCCCAAACAATTGATAAAGTTGCTCTTACTCATCACAACCAACTAAGCAAGCAGTAGCATGTGGGTTTGTGTCCCCCACCTTTTGTTAAGCGTACCATTTTCAATTTTACTTCTTGAATGAGGTCCACTAAAGGCAATGAATTTGTTTGGTATTATCCAGTTAAAGTCTCCATTTTCTGCTTTCTGAAAAGAAAAAAAAAATTACTTGGTTTATCAATATCCCTAAATTTTTAGCTTAGAACCACAGAGAGGTAGGGCTGGAAGAGACTTCTGTAACTCATTTGGTCCTACCCCCAACCAGAGGCAGGATCACCCCTATTCAAACCATCCTATGTAAATCCATCATCTAACCTCTTAACAAAACTACACAGTCAACCTTGACAGCCACAAGACACAATACTGTAATTTGCCACAGGTAAAGCAGGAGGACCAGAGAGCTAATATTCTGCTGCTGCAAAGATGTTTAAAATACACACGAGAGATCCAAGGAAGAGGTCCACGAGCCCCACTGCAGAGGAAGGCAGAAACCCCAACAGTTCGTACCCCTCTGACTGCAGGTTAAAATTTCTTCCTAGCTTCAAATCTGGTGATCTGACACTGAGCAGAGGGGCAAGAAACCCTGGGTTTAAGTCCCAGCAGGAGCACTGGTGCAGCCAAGTCAAAATCCCCAGCCTTAGCTGCAGCCAACACCCAATGACTCTAAGGAAGGCTTGAAAAAAACCCATCTGCACATACCCCAAAATGTAGCATCAGAATGGGAAAAAAAATTCTCTCCTGGCCTCGTGTGGCAACCAAAGCCCACAAGCATGGGAAGTACTCATAACACAACACACATACAGCTATGCCTAGATCATCCCTGAACAATGTCTGTCCAACATCTTCCTGAACATCACCAATGACGGAGAGTCCACAACCTCCCTGGACAGTGTGCCTCACTATTCTTATAGCAAAGAAGTTTACCACTAGTCCATGATCTACTCGCTACAGAAGAGAAAGGGTATTTTCCCTCACCTTTATGGCAGCCTTTCAGGTATCTGAAGACTGCTATCATGTCCCCTACTAAGAACCTTTTCCCCAACCTGAACAAGCCTTATTCCTATTTGCTTCATAAAATCAAAGCTAAATACAAGTGATAGACAAGTCTTGCTTCTGTTTGCAATCTGCTGTTTGCTTCATCAGGAAAATACCATCTATTCTTAGTTTCTCTTCCTAAACCAAAATTTGGAGGGAGCATCAACTACCTTTAAATAAGGCCTTACTTGGAAATGTTTGGCAAATTATTTTTTGAACTCTAAGAGTTCTAATCTAATCTTCCTTTACATTTATCACAATTTTTGCCCTAAAAAGGTAATATTTATATACGGTGTGTAGTTGTAAAGCTAAAATTCTACACTGAAGTTTCCTCAAAGAATTGAGGTGATTTTTTGGCTTTGAAATTCACACAATTCAGTTATCAATTCTTCACCACTTCATACTTGTTTCCCTTAGTTAGATAACTGGTCCAAAAACTGCATTTCTTCAGGTTGCTCATTAAGTTTCCCCTAACAGCACACACTGCCTATAAAAAGTGGCCTTTGAATGGAAGGTTTTTTTCAGCATCCTCCAACGGTAAAAATCAATGTTAAAAAAAAACAACTACCATGCAGGAAGAGCACTCACCAACTACAGCTGCTTCCTCAGCCTGATGAAGGGTATTTATACCCGAAAGCTTGCTAAGAAGAATTTTTCCGACTACTTGAGTTGGTCTAATAAGAGATATTAGGTTTACCCAAAGAACCTTGTATGCCTGTGTCTTTAGACCAAGATGACTGCAACCTACACACCTGTACACCTCTTTTCACATTTCTCCTCATCATCTTTACTTTCTATAGTCCTCTCAGGCCTAATCACACATGCACCTACCCAGTTCTGCTGTTTAAATTTAATTTATATTATCTATTTTGCTCTCGATGCATCTTTAAATAAAGATCTGAAATAGTCTAAAAACAGAAATCGAAGCTAATGCTACAAAAATAACTAGTTATATAAAAGTAATTCAGGCAATAGTCAGAAAATAATAGTAATAGAAAATAGTCAGAAGACCAATATAACAGTAGTACTAGTTTATTTACACCTTTTGTAAAACAATGTAATGACATGACTAAAATATGTAATTCAAAATAACATTTAAATACTGTATAATTTTTAATATTTGGACTAATACAGAATGCTTACCTCATAATGCTCATATTCATCTACATCAAAAACAGTGAAATCCAGGAAGCCATGTAGCAAAGCCTAAAAATCCACAAAGGAACTTTTAGCATAGAAAAAAAAACTACTGTGGAAAAAAAATAATTTACCAACATGATAAATTTCTGCATACCATTTATATGCCCAATATTTCTACCCTTTCAGAGTGACTTTTAGTATTAACTTCCTTAACTGGACTAAGTTTGATCCAATTCATAAATGTTTTAATCCTTTTGAAACCACTTGTATAAAATGTGTGACACTCAATCTCAGTTGAAAACAAATCTTTCCATTCCAATATGAATGCTAATACGCACAAGTGAGAATAAATAAGAACAATGGGATTTTTGTTTTAATTAACTAAAAACAAATTGCAAGCTGCAGCAGCATGCAATCTTCTTATTAACGAGAGAGAGGCAGCAGCATTTCTGTGAAAAATTTTACAAAATTTAACTCTATAAAATTAGGGGTATGTTCTAGCCACTAGAAGGAGCTGGATATACTGGATTAAGAATAACTTTGGAGACATGAACATTGCTTTTAATCATTTGCTATTGTGATGCGTTATATCGAAAGCCCACTGAAAAAAATTACTGTATTTACTCAAATCTAAAATGGGGTTTTCCCCCCATTCAGCATGGGGAAAAACCCCCTCATTTTAAGATTCTAGTATGGGCCAGGCAAGCAGCTGCCATTCCTATGTATGGGAAAAGGGCAGCTCATGCAGCAGGCAGGGGTGCATGAAGCAGGACAGGAGTGTGGGGGAAGAGGGTACACAGGGCAAGGAAGAATGCAGGGGAAAAGGAAGGAAGGGGAGACACAGGGTAAGGGAGGAGTACAGGAGGGGCACAGGGAACGGGGTGCATGTAGCAAGGAGGGCATGGGGAAGAGGGAGCATGGGGAAGGGGCACACAGAGTTCAGGGGTAGCAACTGTGGGTCTGACTCCACTCCTGACCCGGACTGGAGCTGGAGCCACCCCTACTGCCTGGCCCCACCGAGTGTTCTATGCCCCTTGCAGAAACAGAGCCAGAGCAGCTGCAAAGGTAAGTAAGCCTATCATATTACTAACCTTATTTATTGCATGAAAGCAGTCAAGCAGTGTTAGATGAAAACTGCAAGTACCAAATGAAGCATCCCTGTAAAAATACATCCCCCCCCAAAATAAAATCAAATCAGTGGACAGCTGAAAACCTTTTCTGATTCTGTAAGCAAAAATTCAGTTATTGCTCATGAGACTTCAGTAAAAGACAGTTACTTGTTAGTTCAAAAGTAATACACCACTGCTTGCAGTTCCAGCTTTATTTATTTGTTGTTTTATTGACATTCTATATTAACACTTAATATTTATTATTCCAGCCATTTCCCTCCTCCTAACCTTTGCAGAAGTGCTGCTTTCAACTTTTATTGGGAACACAATGCTAACCAAGTTGGGGGGGGGGGGGGGGGGGGGCAGGTCAGAAATTTAGATATCAACATTTCTCAGCAAAATGTTTATCTTGCTTGATAAAATTTCTGAATTGCACTTCCAGCAAGGTCTGTATACTCTAGGGATGTGAACAGTTAAACATTTAATTGTTCACATATTGATAACCAGTAATACCTTACTGATTTTCATTTAGCATGAGGCGAAGAACAGTCCAGCAGGAAAGCTGGGGAGGGGAAAGGGAAGTGGCATGGTGGCCCTGATGGCAGCAGGGCAGGCAGGAAGGAGGGAGGAAGGGATTGGGGACTAGTACCTAGGGAGGGAGAAGCAGGGAGGGCAAACTAGTACTTACTATGGCAGGGGAGCTCTAAGGGGCCTGATCCTATTTGTGGCAGCGCAGCCCCAGCCCCTTTCGCACTGTCTGCCCTCAGGCACACATGCACCTGCTGCTGGGAACAGGCAGGGTCAGGGTTCCACAAATCCTGATGCAGCTGCTTGCAGCCTACCAACCACCTGCAACAGCCAGCCTGGGCTCTAGGCAGGGCTGCTTGTGCCAGGTGCCGGGGAGGCTGCCAGCGGCTGGCCACGGG